CATCAAAAAAAAATTCACAACTCTAAATTAGCTTCTGAATTAATAAATTTATTATCATTCATCAAAAAAAAATTCACAACTCTAAATTAGCTTCTAAATTAATAAATTTACCATTATTCATCAAAAATTGTTGTTTTATTAATAAAATTTATTGTCACTTGTAAAAAAAGGAAATTTATAATTGTTTTGACCATTCGATATCACTAAACAAGTGATCTAGTCTTTTTCAATTTTTTCATTAGGTATATTTGTATAATATATAAAATAAATAAAAAAGAGAGAATAGAAGCAAAAAAAAATCCCCTCATAATACAAGTGTATACTATTAGTTCAGGTAATGAATTTATAACTGCTTACCCCTTCTATGTATCAAAGAGAATAGATTCCCAGTCATTACAAAAATTTGAAAGACATCGTTTCCTTCAAATTTGAAGCCAGACAAAATAGAAGCCTAGAAGAAAATTTGAAAATTGGAAGCTTCCAAAGTCGATCTTTCCATTCACAACTTGGCCTAGACATCGTTTCCTTCAAAAATTCTGTTATTCCATATGAGACTGGAAATTAAGTACCGCCTTTTTTTGCTAAAGCCCCTTTTAGGCTCTTAATCAACTAGACTTGCTAGATCATTCAAGATGATCCCAAGACTTGTACTTACCTTTTGCTTTTCCTGTTTCTGTTTTAGGTGGAACTTGACTAATTTACAATCATGTATCTTTGTTCAGAACTTTCAATTTCAGTAATATAAGGAAGTATCTTCAACAGAAATTGACATCATTTTGGTTTTGGATACTAAATTAATCATTTTATAAAGAAAAATTAAAAAATTACTAAAGAGAAGGATAAAAGAATATTGAGCTATTTCAATGGCTTGATCCACATAAGTGAAAAGACCTACTTGGGATACTTAATAGGCATGACAACTGCTTCCTTTAGAAGTCTTTTGGCATTCTCTAACCCCTTGATGCTTTCCCACTTCACATCTGGACTTCCACGGATAATGTCCCTGGTATAAAAGCAAGAAATGAGAAACAGCATTAGTAGATTATATAGATTGTAGTTGGGAAACACAAAATGTAACCAATACCAACTTAAAGGTGAGTATTATGAAGGTATAAAGCTTTGGCATTTTCAATTACCTACATACTGCTTAGCCAAAAAATATATATTACCTACATAAACTCTCAGCCAGTGCACGTGTTTCTGCAGACTCCAATGGTGGGAGCGAAGGCTTCTGCCTGCAAATTTAAACATGAGAAAGCTCAGCAGGCTTCTCCAAGAGAGGCTATGTTGGTACAGTTTTATACTATTAAAGATAAAATATCTTATTGTGTCATCACAAAATTAAACCCTTCATAAAACTTCATGTCAGAAAAATGATCTAGAAGGAAATAACCATAAAAAACTCCAACAATAAAGCCTTAGGAAAATGAATTTTGGAATGCATCATAGTCTCATAGAAAGGATTATTACGGTTACTTATATTATACATTTTACACATGGTTAACAAAATTGCTGTATTCAGAAGTTGACATTTTCCCCATTTTCTTCATTCCCATGGCTCATGGAGGTGGTTAGTGTATTCATATCTACATAAATTCAAATTGAGGCCAAGGGGTTTAGCTTAAAATCAATATGTAGACCTAATCAAGACATCTATGAGGGTAAAACAACCAATGTTAGAACTCCTATGGGAGGCATCAGAGTTGCAATTCTGATGGTAATCAGCAAGGCTCAAAACTTAGCCCTTATTTGTTTGCACTAACCATGGATGAATTGACTAAACATGTTCAGGAGGGGATTGCATGCTTTATTGATGGCATGGTATTAACTGATGAAACTAGAGAGGGATTAAACACAAAAGTGGATCTATGAAGTATGAATAAATGTCTTATAAACATGAGGTCTTAAAATAAGTGCTCATTAGGTAACCCAGGGCCCTCTGGAGTTGGGGGAGCATTCAGAGATGTGGAGGGTAGACTGGTCGCATTATATTCTGGTTCAATAGGTATGGGAGACTCACAAGGTTTGAGGTTAGTCCTGCTTCAAGGTTTGAGGTTAGCTAGGAAGTAATGGGGACTCCACAATCTTGAGGTGGAAGGAGACTCCGAGTTACTAATAGGATGGCTGCAGACAAAATGTTTGGGAGTATGGACTTATAAGACAGCAAATGAGGGAAACTTCTTGCTTAACAAGGGAAGTTGGGGCTCTATTTAAATGGACCAGGAGATCAGCCAATGGTTTAGCTGATAACTTGGCAAAGCAGGGGACCCTTAGGGGTAATCTTTTATGGAATGTGTTGTAATCTTTGAGATAAACTCTAGGGTCAACACTCTTGTTGTGGGTGCTTGACATTTGTACTCCTTAATATAACTTATAAATGAAAGTTACCATTTCCAATAAAAAAAAGAGGCCTTAAAATAAGTACGACCAAAATAGAATATATGCAATGAAAACTTAGTAATAGTATGAATAGAAATATGGGAATATTAAGAATTGGGGACTAAGCGATATATCAATATGACCAATTTTTTACCTTTTGTTTTAAGGTAAATAAAGAAGAAAATATATTGAGATTATAACACAATATACAAGACTGCTTGGTGATTAGGCGAGGTGAGCCTCCAAGGGCACCTTTACATCAGCCACAATTTTTTTAATCTTTTTGTCTTCTTTACTCTCTTTGTAATTCCAATCCCAAAATAAACCCCCTTCAACCTAAACTGAATCAGGAACAGCTCGATAATTTCTTTGGTGTCTAAATCGTCTAACTACACGAGAATGGACCTCAACATTCTTCCTTTCCCCAAGATTATCATTAATCCTATCTAACTCTAAGATCGTGCTCTTCTCAAACACTTGTTCTGCTTCACTTGGTAAACAGTCTTGCTTCTCCACCTCTGTTGTTGTAAAGACTCTAGTATGAGTCAAAAAAACCTTCACTCTACTCTTGAAAAGCCCACCAGTATTTTCTTCCACTTTCTTTTGATGAGTAATGGAAAATTTTATTAATTCAGAGATTCAAACTGATACAAGCATCCTTTTGAGAGGCAGGAGCTGCAGCCTCTCCCAAACAGATTGCAAAAAGGAGCAAAAATCAATCAAATTACAACTTAGCCCAAAACAAATGTTCCCTACTTGGCCCTTGCTTGGATAACCAATCAGCCAATGCATTTGTCAATCTTCCCACCCACTATATTGTCACAAACATATTTTGTGTCAGCCACTTAAATTTCTTGATTTCATTCTTATACCACCACATAGCTTGCTCCAGGTTCTTCAACCACCCCACCACCACTTTGGAATCCCCCTTGAATCAATAGTTGCTCCACACCTAATTGACTTGCAAACTGCACCCCTTGTAGGGCAGCTAGTAATTCTACCCTAGTAGAGTCCCCAATCCCCAAAAGACCCAACTAAAAAAAATACAACCTCTCCAAATTCATTTCTCAAGGCACCCCCCATTCCAAAGGGACCTGGGTTGCCTTGACTGCTCCCATCAAAATTTAGCTTCAAAGAAACTCCAGGAGGGGGTACCCAACTTGTCGATACCCTATTCTTTAAAGCTGAACGCCTAGCTACTGCTGGTCAATTCCTCCAAATATCGTTGAAGGAGAAATAGTGAAATAACTCCAAAGTCTTTAACCAATGTATTATTCAGCACACACTCCTTTAAATCTTGACAGCTTCTCTCCTGTTCCCGGAAAATTCTAGCATTCCTTTCTTCCCAGTATTTTCTTCCACTTTCTTAAAAGCTTTCCTAGCAAGATCTTCTCCGCCCAAGAAAAATAAACCTAGTGTTTTACTCACCTCCACCTCTTTGCTAATAATTGTTTTTTTTTTGATAAATGTCTTTGCTAATAATTATTTCCAAATCAACTGTGCTTTCAACTTCATGTGTTTCACCAATCAGAATCGCATCTTCCTCCACATCAATTTCAGCCTCCAAATCTTCATCTATAGGTTTTGTTCTGTACATCTTTTTCCTATGGTTGACCTAAGAACCTTTAACCCCATTCACTTCATTCTCTTCCCTTCCATCCGCTCCTCCATTAAACCATTCTTTTCCTGCTCCTTCCCCAAGCAAATCTTAACTGAGTTTGCACCTATCCTTAAATCCTCTCCTCATCTTCATCTTCCTCTCCTTCCAAATTCTCCGAAGCTTCTTCCCTTCCACTTATAACAATCAGTCAAGTTCTTTTCCTGTTATCTTCATCCACCTGCTGAAACCCACTTTCTTCAAGAGAACCCAGCAGCTTGTCCAACACCTCATCTGCAAACCCCTTGTCCTTTTCTTCATCAGCTCCTTAAAGATCATCAGACCCCGACTCTGCAAGACCGAGCCCAATGATCGTCTCCGTATCAAGACAAAAAATGTTAACTACTCTCCATACGGATCCATCTACACTTCCAGAAGAAGTACTGAAACTTTCTCCACAGCATCGGCAGCTTCCTTTTCCCCCAACTTCAATGAAGAAAAGGAGAGGGGCCTCATTCAGACCTAGCAGCTTCTCACTTTGTCCCAAGTCGGTCAAGTTCTCATGGAAAAAAAGGGATACCTTGACTCATTCCCCTCCTTAATACCTCCCACATGACCACTAAAAGCACCGACGAGCCATTCCGACCCATCCTAGTAGAACCAAGCCTATGACAAGTCATCCCCCTCTTCAAATCTTTTCGACCCTAACTCAACATCTGGCCCAAATTCCTTAGAACCAACATGTAGCCCACCATTACAAACAACCTTCTCACTAGCTAATTTAATATTGCCATGAGATGGACTACAACCCATAACAAGGAAGAGATTGAAGCGAAGGACACCCATAGAATCAGAGATAGATGGGAAATAGGGTGCATCTAGATTCTAGAGTCCTATAAATGGTTATAAGGCTAGTGTTATTGCATAAAACTAAATTTTGGCCAGTCAAGAAGCAACATCTCCAAAAAAAAATAAGTGTAGATGAAATGTGAATCTTGAAATGGGTGAGTGGGAAAACCAGAAATGGTAGAATCCTAAATGAACTTATTTGAAAGAACCTAGGAGTAGTTCCAACAGCTAATAAAATGAGGGAAAGTCAACTAAGGGGCCTTTTGATAATGACTGAAGTTGTTGAGATAAATTTATTGCTTTATCTTTTAGTGGATAAAATAATTACATAATAAAATATTCAAAGGTAGAGTAATCTATCCAATTTCAGCTTCAGCCATAAAGGAGTCCACAGCCTCCTTAAAAACTTATTCACTAAAAAACAAAGTAATAAACTTTTCAGTTTAGTCATTTCATCTGTTAAAGAACAGCCCCTCAGATGGTTTGGCCATGTTTTGAGAAGACCAGCTACAATACAGTACTACTGCATAATTTGAAGAAATGATCTGTTACAAGTTGAAGAATCTAGAAGAGCTAAGTGTAGGAGTAACCATGGGCTGAGACAGGCTTCTAAAACAGACTATGAATAATCAGCCCTACCAAAAAGGGCATGGGTTCCTTTTCCAAAAGAAAAGAGGAACATGGGTTGAAATAGTGAGAAATGATGACCTTAACATAACAATGGATAGAGCATTGAACAAAGCGGAATGAACTGTTGCATGGACTCCCCTAAACGGACGATGTGCCAATGTCGAACAGGCATCAGAATCCAAAACACCATGAGTTCTTGAGGACACTTCCATGGAACATTTCCCTTTCATCTCCTAGATTATTTGACATAAATGATAGTAAAGGATGAATGCCATTTTTCATATCAACCATTACTCAGTAACAGAGGCAGCATTTAAGACCCTTTTTTTGCAGATATGTAATGCTAGAATTCAAAAAAAAAAAAAGTATGAATCTAATAGTATATGCTTTTCAATAGACATGTGCACAAGTCCATGTTTTATCATCTTGCTGAGTCAGACTCTTGAAAACGTATCAGATTCTGACTCCCCAACCCCCATGTCTGTGTTCATGCAACACTAGTGGAATGGCAGAACATCATATAGTTGTTAACCCCATATAGTTGGAATAAGGTTTAATTAAGTGTAAAAATCAATATGCACAAGAAGTTCTAATAATTTTCAAAAATAGTCCCAAAAATATGTAAAATAATACAAAAAATGTAATTACAAGTAATTGGTTTTCTCCAATTCTTATTTTCATCCTTATTGCTTGATCTACACATAAATTCTTCTATTTAAAATATATCTTACAAATATTTAAATATCAGAAGAAAGCAATGTTTTGAAAAGCATGGAAGGTGTATACCTGGAGGTGACCCCAAAAAGTCCTAAAGTGCATGCCAGAGACATTGATGCCTATGAGGCATACGCCTCAAGTGCATGAGACGTGTTATAGGTGTACACCTCATACAAAAAGATGGAAAGAAAAGAAAAGGAAGAAGGAGAAGGAAAAAAAATAAGAAAAGAAAGAAAGGCTGTGTTTGGTTGCAGTGTAAGTTCTGATTTATTTTTATTTCAAATTTTATATTATTTTGTTTAATTGCAGTACAAACGGAGTAAAATAAGACCTGGAGCAGAATAAAGTAAAGCCTAAAACAAAATTAAACCAGAATTTACATTCTGTTCAATTGCATTTCCATGCATTTGTACTAGTTCAAACAAAATTGCACTAACCAGATTTCGGATTTTCCGGACAGGTTCCTAAGTCTGAAAATGACAAAATGTCAGCTCACACACAATTGTTTAGATGCTTAGATACATGATTCATTTCAGAGATCAGCATCTTTCTCTACAAGAAAATGGGAAACGTTGGTTGTCTACCAGGAAAACCCCTATCCAGCCTCAATGACTGGAATTCAACTACTCACATTTGTCATTCTGAGTTTTCAAACGGATTCATGTTGTAAACCTATAAAGGCATGCAACAGTTACGCTGACGCAAATATTATAAGTCATTCAATACAACTTGCAGAACTTCACCCTTGATAGGCCTGATAAACACTGTGAAATCATAAAATTGGTATTTACAATTAGAAAACGCGCATAATGAATTTCAGCATTGGAAATAGTGAATTAGTGATCCATGAAGTGGGCGTACGGTCTTTCGGAAGGAATTCCATTAAGTTGTGATGGGCTTTTTTTCTCCTGGAAAAACAAAAAAAGAGTAATCATTAAAATACTGCATCAATGATAAGAACGGCATAACCCCCTTCATTCAATGCAATAGAGGCAACTAACCTGACGCCGGAACTCCTCATAGATCGCCATATCAGATGTGTTCTTGACGTGCCCAGTCCCATTGATTGATCCATTTGAAGAACTCCCATTACAAGCAGCAGTTTGATCAGCCCCTGCAGCCTCCTTCTTCTCAGGCTCCCTTTTTCTCCCAAACTTTGCATCATAAAACATCTTAAAATCCTTAAAAGAAGGGAAAAGAATATTAACTAAATAAAGAAAGAGATTCCAGCAAGATTCTACTTCGCTCGATCCGGTGATCCACACATGCACAAGCCGAAGTCAATGAAAATTCAAACAGAGAAGAGTGATGACATACATTATAAAACAGTAAATGAGAAGACCTAGCCGTAATTCGGAAGAACTGAGAAAGGCCAGATGACACTTAAGGGGAAAGTCTATGAACTTATCGAAGACAAGATCGACATCAACAGAAGAAAGAAAGCAAGAAACCCAGAAAACTCATAATCTCGAATTAATAGAGAGCAAGAAACCATCGAAACTGAAAAAAGGGGAGGAAACCAAGAGGAGATTCATTACCAGGAATGACCAGCGAGTGAGAGAAGGCTCCTCCGCCATTGCCGTTGTTGTCGAGAGAGGAAAGGAGACGGAAAGAGAGAGATCCCCAAATTCACTCTCCCTCTCTTTCTTCTCTCTGTTTCAAACCCCCTCCCTCTCTCTCAATGATCAGAAAGCACTTGACTCTGTATTAAACTAGTAAGAGCGTGATTTTTCGTCGTTCCTCGTTTGGTGGTCTCTGGTCTATTACAGAGAGGACTGAGGAGTGCTGAAAATGAAATGAGTAATAGAGAATATGTTCATGTGCTTTATTTTATTTTTAATATTTTATATTCAAAAATAAAATTTTATAAAGATTCATACTTGTTCGATACCGTCTCTCCTCACATCTCATGTGACCCCCCCCCCCCCCTTCGATCCATTGACAAGCCTGAACCTGATGTGGCATATCTTGTGAATTTATTTTAAAAATATCCTTAAACTCAATTTTTATTGAGTTTAAATTTGTATTGGTACTCTTAATAAAGTTGACTGATAATTCAGGAAAAACTTCATGATATAAATATAAAATATTTAAATAGATAAACTATATATAAATACCCTATACACTATGGGAGTAGTGCTAAATACCCAAATAGGAATGTAACGTAAATTCCATCTACTTCGAGGGTGATAAGAGACCTCCTCCGATCAACTCTCTGACTCGTACAATTACCCATAATCCATTACCTTTACGTGATTTATCATGAGTCATGACACTCTTTTCACTATTAAGGCTGCGTTTGGAAGGAGTGTAAATTCCGGTTCAGTGCATTATTGCACTTCGGTCCAAAATTGTGTTTGGAAACAGTGTAAAAAAGCCTCTATTATCGATGGAAATTTGCAAACACCCGATGATTTACATCGATTTAGTGGTGGAAAACTACATCGATTTTTTCGAAGTAAAAAATCATGCCCTATTTCATCGAGGGAAATAGAAGAGGAATCTATGCTCTTCCACTAGCACGGCACTCTGAGATCTGAGCAACGACTGTTATTCTCAGATTTGAGATATGAGTAGTTCAAAACATCACCAACAACCTTGAGAGTTTGAGCCTCAGCGTTCAAGTCTGCGTTGAGATCTGAACAATGAACCTCTTCTCTGTTGAATTTTGCATTGAGGTCTGCATTTAAGCAGGTGAGAGAACAACGATCCTTTTCATTTCTCCATCCGATTTACTGAACAGATATTGATCTAGTGTTATTTTGTTCTTTTATTTAGTTTTTTTCTTGTTCAAAGCTCCTGACCAACATCGTTTTTAGATCCCTTTCAACGTATCTCTAAAAGTGAAAGTAAGATTTCTCCTGTAGCTGATTTTCATTTTCAAATACTGCTGCAAGATTTCTCCTGTACCTGATTTCTTTCAAAAACTAATTGCATACCCTATTGACATATTACTGGCTCAAGTCTCCTAGACCCAATTTTCTTAATTTCTGGTCTTTCTTTTTCCTTTTGGTTTTCAGTAATCAAATTATTTATGGTGGTAACTCATGTCTTTTTCCCTTCAACGTATCTCTGGTCTTTCTCCAGAGGCTTCAGCCGATTTTTAGCTAATCAGCAGGATTCCTTCATTTATTTATGGTGGTAACTCGTGTGTCAGATTCAAATTGCCATCGAAATATAGTTATCCAAACCTGTGACCAGGCTGTGTATTTAAACATGATTCATCAAAGATGGAGAGAACCCAATACAGACCAATGAAGAGTTTTCCTGTAAACATAATACATACTTCTTATATAGATGTGGACCATGTGGTCAAATTATGGTTTATCAGATAAACTTTGTTCTTCAGAAGCTAGCAGGGGAAGCTGGGATCGTAATTCCAGTTGAGATCAAAAGGAAGTTTTTGATAAGAGTCCATCTATGGATGGAGGGAGGCATTCATAAACTATTTTAAATCTTGCCTTTTTGTGTGTCTCTGCTTTCTTGTTTTCCCGTTTGTTTACTAATTGTGAAGTAATAAGACTGGACTACACGGATAAGCATTCAGAGAAACTGCAACTAAGAAGATGTATGTTCATAATATTAAATTTAATTTACTGTTTTGGAGATCATCTGAGAGCCATTATGTGATTTTGGAGATCATTTCAACTTGTTTCCTTGTATTTTGAATGCATAAATTCATCACGAGAACAATAAAATGCACCCATCGAGTTGGGTTCTTGAAATTCTGGGATAGTGGCTATTTGGCTTCTTATAATGAAACATTAATTTGCATCCTTATAAAATATCCAAACAGTCACAAATTAACACCCTTGTGTTTATCTGGTCCACAATTGCATGCACCTCAACCGGAGGTGTAATATTTTGCCGTGCCTAAATTTGCATTTACACTCCTTCCAAACGCAGCCTAACTGACCCATAAAATAAGCAACAAACTAATAACAAATTTCACAAATGGGCCCACGTGGCTCTCCACTGCATGCATGGCCCAACAACTAACTGAAAACACCTACTACGTTGCTCTTCTAGTTCAAACCACATTCAATAAGAACTTAGTGGGTCCATGACACAACACAAAAAGAACCTCAACTTTTAAATGTAACAATCAAATACCTTCAACTTTCAAAAATCCACACTTGTCCAAAGGTTATCTTGAGCATGTACACCTCGAAACATTTTAAATTTCCAAAAGTATCCTTCTCTCCCTTCTCTATTCTTTCACTCCTCCATACTTCTCTCTCCACCACTACAATGAACCCAAAAAAATAAATTCACATCGGTGCCCCAGTGTCATGGGGCTAGTTACGAGGCCCCGTGCAACAGTCGATTGGATCGAGTAAGCCTACGAAAATAAACAATAATATACAAAAAGGCATACGAATTAGTCAAAAGGTTCTTTGTATTGCTAAAATAGTGATAAGTACAAGTACACAATTTAGTAATGAGGGAACCTCGTGCTTAACCTTCACACGTTCTTAGCATACTTGACAACTTACTTTCCCTCAAAGAGTAAGTTAAGCTTTTGGGGGAGTGATAAAAGGAAACATCAAAATGTTGAAAAAGTATGCTACATAATCACAATAATGTCATTGTCGTCCCCCATCTTACAAAATACATAGATAGCAGCCCCACCCAAGACACACTCATGACACACTAAAAGTGTGTTGCAGACATGGTGGACGATACTTGAGGGCACGATGAAGAGTTCACTTGTGACACCACATCACATTCCAACCGTGTATTGAAAACATCTCCCAATGTCAATGCATGTTGAGATATGCATGTGGGGTGCTTATGTGATCTCCAAAAATATATTGACAGGATATATTGGCCTTTGTTAGAGATGCCAATTTCATAAACAATATCAGAAAATTCTAGTAACCCCTATTGATCATTGCTAAAATGCTAGCTTTGATCATGTTCAGTGTTTCAAAGCTCAAGCAATGGATTCATCAAACTTGTGAAGATCTTAAGATCCATAGATTTGGAGGTGAATTTAAAATCTTAGCATGAAAGTCAAATATACAATTTGGTTTTGTTTATTTCCCCACCTTCGCGCATGCGAGAAAAGCATCCCCCAACCCCCTCACATGCATGTAGTGGTATATATTGCTTTCTTCCTATGGGTCCCTACTCATAGAGGAGACAAGTCTACTAATATACTCAAAGCTATTTTTTTCCTAGACAATGTGGGACAAGAGCTCTTCACCTACATGCAAGAGGAGAGAAGAGAGAAAAAACAAAAAGCCAAAGCAAAGGGGAGGGAGGTGAGATTCTTGAAATTTGGAATCTCCTTCCAACATGTCTTATGAGTTACATCCTAATAAACTATGAGTGAATGGACACATATATGTATCACTGGGTTGACCAACACTCTATTTATAGAGTGCTCTTAGTCATAGTCATAGGGGTGAGCATTCAGTTTATTGGGTTTGCGAATAAACCAAAACTTTTAAAACTAAATCAAAAACGAATTACAAGAAAACTGAAATTTTCAATTTGATTTTCGGTTATTTCAGTTAAAACCGAATTTCATTATAATATACTATGTATAATATATTAATATATAAATATATAGCATATTATATATTATATGTTATATATTATATATTATATATTATATAATGAATTTTAATTTTATTTTTTCAATTAATCAAATTTTTAATTGTGAAAACCGAAATTGAAATTTTCGATTTTAACTAAATAATGCTCATCCCTACTCAGTCACCCGAATGGACACAAATGTGTCCTTTTAGATAGTGCACTTGTTCAAAGAGACACGAAGAGAAAATGTTTAAAAGGAAAATTAAATTTTAATCGGTCAAACCGATTACAAACCAAATGGTCAAAATGGTAAAACGTTAAGGTGATGCGCACATGTACACATCCACACCCACACCCTACCACAGCTTAGCTTAGTGCATACGTGTGGGTGAAAAGCACCCCTAACCCCCCTCATATGCATGTAATGGTATATAGTGATTTCCTCCTATGGGTCCATACCCATAAAGGAAGCAAGCCAAATAATATAAGTAGAAGAAGAAGCATTCTTATTCATAATAATATTAGAATATTTCCCGAAGTTAGTTTTAGGAGCACCTTTCCCTTCCGATGACCTTCAATTCTTATTCAAATTCTTTCATTAATTCCTGTAATTAATGATCCCCTATAATTAATTTTGTTTTGTTAGTGTAAAACTTAAAATTTTAGATATTGCAAGATTTGAACCTTTGTCACTTGATTTTAACAACCACAAGTTCGCCAATGAGCCACACATATATATTTGTTATGATTTTATGTATTTTTAATTTTAAGTAAATTTTCACTTTTCTTAATGAGTGAGAAGTTTCTATTAATAAATGCTAGAATTAAATATTAAATTTTATATACTAATAAATATTAAGATTAATTATATTGGTTTTTGAAAATTAACATTCACATTTTAATTTTTTTTTTAGATTTTATTTTTTCCATTAGTTTTCAACGATTACTAATTGTGTCCCGATACACTTTATATAAACCATTAAATTATGGTTTTTTACATTTAAATGATTTATTTACAATCATATAAAATATGTAAATATAGTTAGTAATATATTTTTTAAGATTTATTTGAATTTTTTACTATATTTATGTGTATCTTGATCTTTTGTTCATATCCAAACCATATTTTGATACATCTCTTAAAACTGTCTTTCCAATATACCTTGTGTTTCCGATACTTTAAACTTTGATTGGAAGCACTCCAAATTTGACAGACAAAATTGTATGAATAATAGACATTTTAAAGTTCATTGGACG